CCAGGAGATAGAGCCAGTCAATGTTAAGGCAAGAAATATAACCATAAAGAAGGGGCATCCTCTCCCAGAACATTTAACTGACCTCTATAAGAAGAGCACATTTCCACTTGTCGTCGCCACAGTCTCTTCAGGTTAGGGAACTTTTGGCGAATTATGCAGACGTCTTTTCAAAAGGAGATCATGACCTTCACTGCACAAACCTTGTGGAGCACAGAATAAACACAGGTAATCACCGTCCAATAAAGATCCCTCCAAGGAGAATAGCTCTGGCAAAAGCGACAAGAGATGGAGAGGGATAGTCGAGAAATCAGATAGTCCCTGGTCAGATCCCGTCGTGTTAGTCCAGAAGAAGGATAGGACCCAACGTTTGCTATGTGGATTTCAGGGCTCTTAACAGTATAACTGACAAGGACTCATACCCACTGCCAAGAATTGATTATACTTATGATTTCCTAAGTGGAGCAAGATGGTGAAAATGGCGGAAGCAGATAAACAAACAAGCAGATACGCAACAATATTACTCACTACCTTGATCATCTCCATTACCTGATGAAAAAGTTATGAAATTAGGATCAAATCCTTTTTCAAGAGAGTTAGAAACAACTTCTGTACACTCTTTAATGTATTCCCTTAGTTACACCTAACATACAGGTAACAAGGATTTACCATCTCACCATTTTAACTTTTTCGGTCATGTTTTATAATAATATTTCTATTGTGTGGTCGGCCAATTATAACTATTTTTCATTATTTTTAAATTATATGATAAATTTGCATGATTGACTGTTTATTGCTGTTTCAGAACCCTTTCAAGTAAAATCCCAATTAATGAACTAGTGCTCAATATTCATGCATTGTAATCATTTTTACCAATATCATTAATAATGTTATTTCTATCAGCGGCGTGTGGACTTTATTAATTGGAAATTAATAAGAAATATGCATTTTTCAGTTTATTAGGAAACTACAATATCTGAACAGACTTAAGTCAAACATTTTCTGAGATTTTACGTACTTTTAATCATGCACTGCAGTTTATCATCAACAGTTTTTACTGGACGTCCTCTCTTTTTATTCTCTTTGGTTCAGCTTCTTGACCCTTTGATGTGCTAGGCTTCCTGATTTGTGGAGGGTCAGTAGAGTTTACTGTAGATTCAAGGTTCCTGATGCTGAGCACTTCACTTTCACTGAATATGATTCATTTTAACTATTAAATAGAAATAACAAATTTGACATAAATGTGCCTATATTTAGATTTCACTCCAGTGTATTTATCAATATTGTCAAAAAATCCTGCCAATAACAGTGTAGCTCACCGGCTCTCCTTAAAATTACTGATTCCTGGTCAAACATTATCAATCTAACTTACTTCTTGATTAAGAAACATTAATCAAAAATCAGAAAATGAAGATTTCAAAAACTTGAATATTTTTTATATATTGTCTGTAGTGATTTTGAAATGAATCCCACTGTAACTTTTGGAGAAGAAGATGATGTAGTGATTTTAGCCCCATAAGCACAATGTTAAAGAAAACTTGAAAATTTCATCACAAATCAGAAAATTAAGATATTGAAAAACTTTGAACAAATTTTTTAGACGTTGTCTGTAGTAAATTAGAAACAAAGTACATTGTAAGGTATGGAAGAGTAGATGATTTAATGGTTTTTCTCATAATAAATTTCAGGTTTTACAGTGTATGGAATTAATGTCTGCATAGAAAGGATTATATTTTTTTATTGACGTCAACCAAAGGAGGTCGCACCCTGCGCCCTCTCAAATTTAAATCCACAATGGCTCTATTAAACGGAATATACGTTCTGAATCGGTGTTCAGTCGTTGGGCGACTTGGGAGGGTCAAGTTCTCAGCATACCTCTTCCTCCAATTGGACCGACTCTTCTTTATGGAGGCACTGTTAAATTTTAGGGAACATTCATTAAATCAATATACCCGTAGAAAACACCGATAAATATCACAGGTAATTAAATATCTAGATTCATCACCCCAATTTCAATATTACATTATTATCATCATGCACTCTACTAATTGGTGCAAAAAAAGAGAGGTCCATATTTTTTTGAGTTCCAATAGTTATTAATCATTTAATCTGTATTGATTTTTAAGAATCCATTAATCTTTTATTTTAGCTTTAATAATCCTTTAATTTAGCCCCAAATAATCCTATAATCCTAAAACCCTAACATCCATCCAACCATGAAAGGCTGAGTCAACAATATAAGTTCATTACCTTTACGTCACTCTGTAGGTGTTCTTGAGAGAGAGTAGAGTGATGTGTAAATTTAGCTCAAACTCCCAATATAGCCGAGCACTCGTGTTTGCCTTCGCATTCTACAGACGTCGTCTATTTTAGCTGCAACAGAGCAGTAATATAACAAGATTTGGGAGTGGAAGTTGAATTTGGTGATTTTGCCTTGGCCAAAGACTAGAAAAGGTCAGTTAACTAAGTGTTTATCAATCAAGAATGGATATTGCATGAGGAAAAATAGTCCATATTTTATTACAAACAACCTTTCTCATTTTATATGACATAGTTAGGCTTTTCATCAGATAGAAAAGGATATAGCTTGAAACATTACATATTTTATTACATACAGCCTTACTTGTTTTATTTGACAAAGTTGGATTTTCATATGAAAATTGGCAACTTGAAACTTGTGAACTGGTTCAATGCAACCAAAGTCGGAGGAATGTAAGAAATAGAGTAAAACATAATACTATGGAGTCATGACAATTTCTGGTCAAATAACTTAATATGTTGGAATGTAGTTATAGAGGTGAGTTAAAATGATAAAATAAGTTGAAAGGAGTATAGTTTTGTAATATTACCTAGTTACATTACATTTTTTAAAACATATACCTGTAGTCTACCAAATATATCATTTGATAGATAAGTATATATATATATATATATATGGACAAACATTGGCTAATGGAAAAGCAGGTAATGAGGTAACTAAAAAGTTTCTCCTTGCTTAACACATCTTTAAATGAAACCTCCACAAAGGATCCGCTATAACTACTTTCTGTTTTAATAAGTGTATTAAAACAGAAAGTAGTTATAGCGGATCCTTTAGATAGTTGATTGTTTTGCGGTTTTCATTAAAATTGTTCTTTACATTTGATCCTGTTCTGCTATAGCGCTTTTTAATATTGTGATTAATTCTATCTCTCAAAAATTTTAAATATAACTTTCTGCGCAACCACATGTTAATACAAAACTACTTAAAAATCCAATGCTAAAGGAGTCATCAGGTTTGTTCAACTAATGTCTGATTGAAATCTGATGTGTGCTATACAAGTTTTCATCCCAATAAGAACTTGTTCGCATTGAAATGATAGATTTAAGTGCCTAACATTGTTGTTTCATCTTTGAGTACGATTAGGCTTCGCTAATCTGTTATAAAAATGTCGAATTTTGTCATCTTTTGGGAAATAATAGTTTTGTCTTTATAAAATAGAACTATTTTTAACAAGTAACATCAGAAACGTTTACACTATTGACTGTTATTTGAGCAAATGTTTAGTTGACTGTTGTATTTGTGATATATTGTATAAAAAAAGCTTTATTCAGCCTTTTAACAACTGATATTATTAAGTTTATAATTTTTTATCATTTAATTGGAATGTATAACATGATGATGCATAAAATCATTATTCGCACCACACAAAATTTCATTATTGAAAACATAAACGTTAGTCAGTAGTATCATATTCTATCGTTTAATTCGTATTCTTTCTTGTATTACGACGCTATTAAATTTTATTTACATTATATATGTATGCTTTTTCCAATAACCTGAATATTGAGCATCTATTGTATTACAAACTACAAATCCTTTTTTCACAATTAGGTCTAATCTTATGGACTTACAACGTTAAAATTTGGGGTTCAATTTTCCCCCGTGGACAAGTGCAGTGTTTGGTAATTTCTGAAGAAAAATTTAAAAATTTTTCCGTTGTTATTACCAAATATTATGGCGAATAAATATGGTAAAGCAATATTGAGTAAATAAATTACAGCACCAACAACAAAGCGTTTTTCTTTTCAAGTAGTGCTATGATGACATTGTGAATATTTTCTTATATAAAATCCTTATCTAAATTGCTATTTTCAAAAAGTTTCGAAGAACTGATTTTTATATACTACGTATTTGAGAGTTAACCTTTACGATTAGGTATAATGATGGAAGCTTCATTTGGTTTAGTTTTTTGGCGTCTAATTTTAGCAGCTGTAGTTTTATTTTGGCATTCCTAAACTGTTGTGAACAAGAAGTATAATGCTGAGCTTATTACTTGCATTTTTAACTATTGTTTTTTATAGCACTAGAATGTCATGTTTAGCAAACACACGCAGTTTTTCTTTGATATTCAGGTATACTAATATATCACTAAACATCATGTAATACTCTAACAGTTGAAATTTCAAATGCATGCTGCTAACTGTTATCGTTTGTAGTTTTATTTTGCTGTTGAAATGGCTATGGTTGCATTATGCACATTTCAGTATTGTACTATTTGTTGTCGTGTTTGATTCATTTTGATTTTTTTTTATTTACATTTCTATTGCATGTGTCATGTTCTTATGTTTGTAGCGTTGCTTTTTTCTTAGAATTCTGTTAGAAATCTTCTGTGGTTTATAGTTTTCTTTGTTTTTCTTTTGGATTAACGTTTTGTCATATATGTCCTATTGTTTGTAAATTTAATGTGGAGTTCTTTGAACTTAAGTGTTGGTGATTATGTTTATCGTTTGCAAATTTAGTTTCTACTATTGGCAGTTTGATTGTTCTATATTTAGGAATAATGAAGATGTAATATATAAACCAGATTTAAGATGTACTTGCAGTTTATATATATGTATATTGGATTTTGAGCTACATTTTAATTTGATACATATTATGCACGATGTGTTCTACCTGTTTTGGTTTCGCCTCGATTTATTGTTGAGTAACGCGCATATTAAATTGTATGGTGGATAAGTAGTAGTGTTTGCTTTTACGGTAAGATACATAATCGAATCATATAATCATTGCAAACGTCTAGCAATTTCTGTGTGATTTTTTTGGATGAAATGCAGCTTCCTAGTTTATCCAGAAAATGTAGTAAGTTTTATTACCAAACAGGTCACCTCAACAGCAAAGCGCAATTCTCAGGTGAGAAGAGGTTTGAATTGTACAACATCTATACTTTTATTGAGTTATCTGGGCCAAGCGTGGCTCAGTGGACTATGGGGCCGATGTTCTGTGATTCGTACCCATTTACCCCTCCCTTTCAAGAAAATAATCATGCTCCGCACTTGGGGATCGTAGGTGAGTTAAAAGAGTGACGGTTAAACCCCACTATTCGATTAGCCCACTCTAGCTCTCTAGCTAATCACTTAAAAATAAGAGATGGCTAGTACAGATTGCTCCCGAATTGCTTTGAGCGAAAGATTGACCAAACAACGTTATCTTCCATCGCTGCTTTAATATAAATTATAATAATATTATGGCCACGAAAGTTAAAACAATTTCCTTTAAACGAGTATTGTTTAAATTCACCTTCTATACTTTGCTGTATTCTGTAAAGACATAAGATAAAATCACAAAGTGAATATATTTGCTGCTAGGAATTTGTTTTGAATCTGCATTCTTGTGCAGTACTTTCAAAATACCTAAACATAAAATGGAAGACCTTTATATTCTGCTTACTTCTTAAAATTAATTGTTATTATATCTTCTTAGATATCATTGTATAACTTTGCGCTAAAAACAAAAAACATCCAGCTTAGGTGCAGCTAACATGGAAAGTTCGCAGCCACTCCTATTGTTTTTTCTTATTCATGTTGTGATTATGTCAAATATATTGTCATCTAATTGTTGTAGTTTATTTTTCTAACAAATATAGTTGCATAAATTTAAAAAAAGAACTAATCATTAATTTTATCTTTATAGAAATATGAACAAGACTATCTACGTCATAAAACAAAAGAGAAAAGCGACTAAGCCTATGATATTATCCAAAATGCAATCTTGAACAACTTCAGATATGTGTAAAAATTCGTCCACAAAACATCTCGCTTTATTGCTAAACAAGATTTTTTGTTAATTTCTGGTTACCTCATGTTTGAAAAAAAATCTATTCCTTGAGATTTTCTTATTGATCCCATATACGGAACCAAAAATTATTAGGAAATATTAGAATAAGTTAATTATGTCTTCTGCTTGGAGTCAGCTGGAACAACTCCTCACCTGTGCTATCTGTCTAGATAGATACAGAAACCCTAAGCTTTTACCATGTCAGCACACATTTTGTATGGACCCATGCTTAGAGGGTCTTATAGATTATGCCCGCCGGCAGATAAAATGCCCGGAATGCCGAGCAGAACACCGAATCCCCTATCAGGGTGTTCAGACTTTCCCCACAAATGTCACTTTGATGAGATTTTTGGAGCTTCATAGAAATGTAACTGGGGAAGAGCCTGAACCTCCACCATCTATGATGGAACGCTGCACAGTGTGTAGTGAGAAAGCCTATGTCAACAAGTGTGCCCACTGCGACAAGAAGGTCTGTGATGAGTGTAGGGAAGCACACACAGATATTCTTAGGCGAGATATTAGTCGAATTAACAATCAGGTAAAAAGGGGGCTTCATCGGTTATCTGATGCTTTGACCCTGACACAGAGCAACACAGAAAAACTTGAACAGAATTGTGCTAAGGTGAAAGATGATATAGAGGAGCTGGTTCGTCGTTACACTAAGGATCTGAAGGACACAGAAGAGAAACTTCTCATAGAAATAGACGCGTATTTGGAGACTGAAGTACGCCAGATGAAACAATTAAAAGATGGGCTTGAAATTGAAGTAGAAAATTTAAACAGTAACAGTGAAATTATAGGAACGTACATCAATGATGACATGGAGTGGACAGATGCTGAACTTGTAGAATATAAAGAAATATTCTTAAAAACTTTAGAATTTATACGAAACTTTGAAGCAGATACCTCTGACTATGCTCGTCGTGTCAAATTCCAACTTAGAACTGATCCCGATGTTCTACGCCAAACACTGATAGGTTTTGGAGAGTTAAACATTAGCTCCCTAACTGTTATGCCTTCTGGTACAACGTCTCCGCCATTTTCTAATGCATTGATGAGAAGTCAGAGTGATCATCGGCTAGCTAGTCAGTTTCAGCGTCGCCAAGAATGCAGATCATTACTAGACATCAACAGGGGAATAGGAGGTCACACTAGTGACTCTGAGAGAGATGGGAGAGAAACTAGCTATGGCCGAAATCGACGAGACTATTCAGAAATAAATAATTATCGGCGTTTTGGAGAAAGAAAAGATTATGACTCATCTGACCGTGAAAGAAGTAGAAGTAGGTTTTTAAGGGACGAAAATAGCCTTTTGTCCCACAAAAACTGGCGAGATTCAGATGCAGATATTTCTACTTATCGGTCCCGGTTTACCAAAGATCACTCTGATGAAGGTCATGAGCCAGAGGCGTCTACTGGACGAAGTGTGCGATTTGAAGATCTTCCTGAACAACAAGACAAACTCTTTGAAAAGGAAGATGTCACCAAAGGACCCTTAAGTGGTGTAATAAAACTGATAGATTCTCCTTATTTCATGGAAAGACTCCATCAAAATGAAGTTCGTCAGAAACAACACCAACAAGAGAAAGAGCATCAAGAGACAGAACAAGCCAACCTAGCACCCATCAGCCGTGTTCCTATTGTTCCACAAAGACAGACTTCACGCCAGCTCAGTGAAGATGAAATTGAAAGGCAAAAAAAACAAAATCAAGCAGCAGCTGCTTCTCCCCAGACAGCAACAGTAACAGTTGCACCTCTTGTATCACCAGCTTCTCCTACTCCTTTAGTCAGTCCACCATCTACACCTACCAACCTTGACTCTCCAATCAGACCCCTATCAAGAAGAGTTGCAGCACTTCAGAAAAATGATGCATTAACAAACAGACCTAGAAGTCCAGAATCCCCACAGGGCGTTCATAGGTCAGGAACGTCGTCTCCAGATAGTTCTACTGAAACTAGCTTATCATCACGACAAAGTTCTCAACAAGAGGAAGTTGCAGAATCCCCACCTTCTCGTCCAGCAAGAAGGCGTACAGGAAGTTTATCAATAGAACAAGAGACTGGAAGACCAGAAGATACAACACGTGCACCTAATTATCCTTCACGTCAGCGTGAAGCCATCAAGCCATTGTCCAGGCAAGTATCTGAAATTCATGAGTTAGTAGGTTCTAGCAATATTTTGGCTTTCTGTCATAGCCATAAACTAATTGGAGATATTCCTTATAGCTTAGAAATGAAGTGTTTGAAAGAAATAGGTAAAGCTGATACTGCAACAATAACTATCCCACCTGTGTCATTTTTGTCCTTTCTGGTGACTAAGAAAATATTCATAATTCAATAAAACTTCTATTTCCTATGGATTAACAGTCCAAAGTCACACTTACGGACCTCCAGAGAAGTGGCAGTTAAAGAACCTCAAACAGAGAATAAATAATTGGTTAAATTGACCAACTACAACCAATTTTACGCCAGAGTATTAACCTGTTTTCCTTTTCAGAATTCCACATATTTCAATGACATCTAAAAACGAACTATTTCGTGAGAACGATGATCCTTACTCTACAACAATGTCAGCTCTAAAACAATTCATTATTATTGCTTTAAGTCAACTTTCAAGTTTTGTTACTCGTTCTATTTGTTTTTAAGTCGTATATTCCCGTTTTCATTCTGATTTTCTAGCAGGAAAAAGGATATCAAATATATTATAACCTCTTTTTTTTATGGCAGGTCTGTCCGGCCACTGCTGGGGAAGAGTCAGTCATCAGATATTGAAGAACAGCAAGTCATTCCACCAACAACAAACTCCACCTCTCGAAACAAAGGTGTTTTGTTAGGGAGAGCGTCTACATTAGATAAGAAAGAAGATGAACGAAAAACTCCAGTTCAGTCTTCTTTTTATGGGCGACTAGTGAGCCAGCGAGTCTCTACAAACCCTGAAGTCCATGAAGAAGAAGAAGAGGAGGATAGTGACACAGAAAGTGAAAGTGAGGTGAGCAGCACAGAAACAGAGAGTGAAGAACAGGCCGAAACAAAAATAACAAATGTTCGAGAAAGCAGCCCGAGTGTCACTGCACTTTTGTCTCGAAGTGCACAAATTCGTCGAGAAAGCAACGATTCGTCCAAGAAAGAGACAGCTGCGGCTGTTAGTTCCCGTTTTTCTCAATATGCTAGAGCTAAAGAAGAAGAAGAGAAAAACCGTGAAGTTAGAAGAAACAGTATGATCCGTGACGAAGAACCTAATCCTCAAAATAAGTATGGAGTTCTAAGAAAGAGACCAGTTGTTGAAGATGAAACTGGGGACAGCGCTTCTCTGTACAGCCGCTACTTGTCACGTAGTCGCAGTTCAGCAGGGCTTGGAGAGTCGGAAAGTAACCATGATGAAAACCGTGAGAACTCCTCACGAGGTATTTCTGACCATTATTGTCGTGACTCACGCTTTGGAAGTAATTATCGCCGCAGTAGAATTGCCCGTAGCAAAAGCTCAGCTGATATTGTTGCAGGTGAGGAAAGTCCAGAGGAAGAATTGCCATCATATAAAAGTAAAGCCGACAAACTCGAAGATGGTACTGGTCGCTCAAGGAACATTACCAGTCAAAAGTTCAAAGATGACAGTCCTCCCGAGGATGATACTCCAAATGGATCCAGTTCCTGGGCACTGTATCTGCGTAACAAATATGGATCCAGGTCATCAACAGGTCCCAGTAGATCTGTTATACGAAGCCGCAGTTCCCATAGCCTGTATTCCAGAAGTGATAGTGATAACAGTTCAGACGAAGAGTCACCAAGTTGTCACAATCAAGAATCGCCACCATCCAGAGCTGGTAACAACCAGTCTTATTCATTCAATTTTCCTCGAAGCATCTACATGCAAAAACGGAAAATGATAATGAAAGTAGGAGTCAGAGGAAGTGAACCATCATGTTTCACATGGCCCAGAGGAGTCTGTGTGGGTCCAGAAAACACCATTGTTGTAGCAGACAGCAGTAATCATCGTGTTCAGGTAGAAAAAAAAATATATATATGTTTTTAACGACTTAAATAATTAAAAGTTTCCATATGATATTGTAGTGGCTTTATGAAAGATTGTTTTGTCTTCTTTGTGCAGTATGATGTATTATTCCATTATGTCTCTTCAATATGTCTATTCTTAAAACGAAACAAAAGTTCCTGAAGCGATGTATAAAAATGTATTCTGTGTAACAGGGTATATAAAAAAAAGTTGGTTGCTAGAGAAGAAGTTTTAAAATATACTGTTAGTTCTCATGATATTTGTAGTGAGGAGAGGAAATCCACTATAATCTTTAAATAAATGTCCAGAGGTTTTAGTAAAGTTAAACAAAAATAAAGTAAACAATCCACTCAAAAGTTATACTTCTGAATTTTTGTTTTAATTCTCATAATATTATTGGTATGTAACTTTACCTTTAGTGTAGTAAGTTTAAACAGACGCAGTTCATTAATTATAAAGTCGAAATTATTATTGTAATGAAAACACAAAGTCATTTGAACATTTATACGATTATCGTCTGTATGAGCAACTAAACTAAAACAATAAGTATTTTCGTACAAATGTTTTTAGGTTCTTGGTTCTTATTTTTAGTAAAGAGGCTATAATATATTTTGATATACCGCAAACTTGCTACTCAAGAGTTACAGCTGATCAGAAATGTGAATATGCCATTGATGAATACTAATTTTGTTCTGTTACCATTAGGTGTTCGACTCTAGTGGGAAGTTCTTACAAGAATTTGGCACTTACGGAAATACTGAGGGAGAATTTGATTGTCTAGCTGGCGTAGCGGTCAATAGGATTGGACAGTTTATAGTATCTGATCGTTACAACCACAGGATTCAAGTTTTTGACCCTTCCGGCAGATTCTTAAGGGCTTTTGGGTGTGAAGGCCGCACCGATGGAAGGTTCAGTTATCCCTGGGGAATAACTACAGATAGCCTAGGATTTATCTATGTGTGTGATAAAGAAAATCACAGAATTCAGGTAAACGTTTCTTTTTGTTTGTTGGTAAGCACAAAACTACCCGATGGGCTAAGTGTGTTTTGCATAATGCGAGTAACGAAACCCGATTTTTAGCCTTATAACCCTTCAGACGTGCCACTGAATGACCGCTTAGGTAATCTATGGAGACAAATGTTGGCATATATTTGTAAAGAAACTTCTATATTTAGGTATTATACTAACTTATTATGAAACTTCCTTTTACCTTCTAATATGAGAAACAAAACAGTTTGCTGCTAAAAAAGTGTTTAAGTAATGACATTCATTTATGAGGTTTATTTCATATATTATATATGATTACTAATACCATATTTCTGTAATCTCAAGAAAATTTTTTGTATACGATTAATAATTTATTTATGGATTGTAAATCTTTATCTGATTGAATATTCCCTAATTAGGATGAATTAATTTTCCTGACTGAAATTAGCGAGATGTAGGACATATATTATTGTTGGTACCAGGACAGAAAGAGAATACTAATCGTAATATATTGTAATGTTATCAAAAACTTGATTTCGCTACCAACACCAAGATCTTCTGGCAGCTCAATGGTACGTTTGCATGTCTTGTTTTATGATGTGAGCTCTTGGTTCTTTGTAGTTGGTCCTAAGTTTATAATAGGGATTTCTATCTTCTCTAATGTAACAAACCGTGTTGTAAAGTAGTTTTAGTAGTATCGTGTGTCAAGTATCTTTCTGTGTTTAACATAAATAATTTTTTTAATTCTTCCATGTGATTTTGTCTTGTTACGATATTTATCAAAATGGCGGACCGCGAAACAATGTGATAATATGACTGATGAAAGGAAAGGAAAAGTTGGTGTTATACAAAGAACAGTTTTTGGCCAAACTGAGCAAATATATCATGGAGATATTATACATTTAGTTTATAATGTTTACGAAAATTCGTCGACTACCACTGTTGTTTCGAAACCTAAGGGTTTGAAGTGAATTTTATCTTACCTGTAAATGTTGATAGTGTGATTGACTCAGAGATGATTATTAATGGCTATGATTCTTTTGTTAATGAAGTTGCACATCTTTACTGTGTCTTTCATGTAGGTACCAAAATATCTTGATGATTCCGTTTTACTTTCCAAATGAATTTAATTATAATACTGAAAGTAGATTTGTCTGGAAACGTGATCATGAGATATATATGCGTATTCGCACGTGTCTTTTGCTGCTAACACTACTGTTTTGCCATATTTTTAATGGTTTTTGATCCCCTAGGAATATGAGTCTTTATTTGTACAAAGCATAACATTCAGAAAAACTAAATCTGTAATATATGTTAGAGAGAACATCTTTACAGAGATTTCTCAATATTAATATGTCGGTTATGCTTAATTTGATGTTCCCTTTGTCGACTCCATAGCGAATGTTTGTAAAACTTCTTTAACCAAAGAACACATTGTTCCTCTTTATCGCTTAATTATTCCTAATTTTCATCTTAAGAAAAACGTTCTGAGTGATAACTTATTGTCTGCTATGCGTAAACTAAGCCACTAATTTGTGGGTGGGAGCTCTAAACTGCAATAGATTAAGAAACATTGGTAAACATTATAATTTTTTTATTGTTTTGCTTTACATTTTGATGTTTTTTATTTACAGGAAATCATTTTTTACAGATTATTATCTGGAAATTGTGAAACAACATTGGTGAAATTTAATGTTCACTAATAATGCAAATTGTAATAGACAGGGTATATCATTCTTAGGTAAACGTTATTTGGCATATTATGTGTCGTATTTAACTTCTGACCGAAATGAAGGGTTTTGACAAGTAAATTTAACTATGATACTTTCTTTTTGGCTTTGGGGAATATTCATGAGCTCCCTGGTATGTTTCGAACGATTCACCAATTATGCTGATTTGTGTCATAGGTTTATTGTTACTGTTGGTAATTTCAACTGTGTGATTGATGAATATTTAGATAAATTGCTGGTTCATGTATCTAGAGATAGCAGTCACAGTGCATTTCTTTCTTTTTCTATGTTATTTTTCATTAATTGTTGCCCCCAGTGGCACAGCGGCATATCTGCGGACTTACAACGCTAGAAACCGGGTTTCGAAACCCGTTGTGGGCAGAGAACAGATAGCCCATTGTGTAGCTTTGTGCTTAATTACAAACAAACATTAATTGTTTTATTTTGTTGTAGTTCTGGAAATGACCGTGTTTTTATTTGGAGAAAATTTGATGCGGGAGCTTATTCAATAACGTATTGATAAAGTGTTGTTTCATGGTTCATTATTATCTATTGTGATGATTCCTAACAGTTTTGGTTTCCTCAAATTGATCACCCATTGCTTTTTTGTATTTATTTTGGTAGTATTACACGTGGAACTAGCTATAGACATTTTAACATTAAATATTTATCAGATTCTGCATTTGTTATAAATGTTACTCAGCTTATAGAATTTAGTAAGAATGGTAGGAATATGTTTCTAATAAAAATTATGGAATATTCGGTAAAAGATGCTATATACGTCAGCTATGTATAGTTTTTACCGTCGTGTGGCTTATGATAGGCTTTTAAAGAGGCAGATTTTGGCATCTGTTGTCTAGTTGCCAAGGTTGTTTCAGGTTCTGCGAAAAAAACTATGTAATTTAGAGGCGAATCTAGAAAACTTGGATACGTGTTGAGGATGCAATTTTATATTAAGTTGGTAAAGATAAATCTTCTTCAAAATATACTTTCGTGCTAAAAATATACGTTCTAGAAAGTATATTTTGATGTACACCCTAAAAATGGCGTGAATCCTCAGGTTTTTGAGAGGTTTCATACACAGGTGACCAGATTTCTTTTTCTTATGGGTGCCCATTTTTCTGATAAAGAGTTTACGGCATCTGATGTTCTTGACATGCAACTTCCTCGTTGTAAATCTCCTGGCTAAAATAGTTTTACAACTGAATTCTATCAAACCTTTATGCCATTTTTTCTTGACGACTTTCTATTGATTCTTGGAGATTTGTATTGATCTGGTAAATTGCTATATCATATGGAAATTGGCGTTATTGCACCAGTACCTAAAGGCAGAAATAGAAGAATAGTGATACGTGGATGTCCTCTGTCTTTGTTAAATACGGATTATCAGATTCTAGCAAAAAGTTGGATTTCGATTATTTAGTAAATATCCGAGCTTAGGGTGAAAGATACGTTAACTTACGCTTGTTGATTTCTCTCTTGTTTCTTTATACAGGAATCAAAATGACTGTGGTATTTTGGTTAAGTTAGATCAAATGAAAGCTTTTGATCGCGTTGAGCATGTTTTTTTTTCATGTTTTTCAACATGCCGAGATTCCAACTTTGATATTATCCGAGTTGCTTCTGTTCCCACTGTGATTAAAATGTGTTACCTATGTAGTTAATTGGACTAAAATCAAAGTATGTTGTTTGAGGCTTTGGCGTTTAATAATGACTTGTAAGTGGGTGAGTATGTATTTCTGGTGTTTTCCTTAAAGTGTTTGTCTTAATTATTCATATAAACTTGACTGTCTTGGCTCAACTGAATTGGAATGCTGTTATTGAGAGAATGATTCATATTCTGATTTCATGGCTTTATCGCTAGTTTTACTCCAGCATCTTAAGCACCTCCTTATAGCATGTGCTCCAAATTCTGAAGAAAAATAGAACTTTGATGAAAAGAATCCTGAAAATTGTAATGTATGAGTGGGACACATTGTTCTAGAAGACAGTATGGTGAAGAAGGTCCTAAAAGAAAGGATTCAAGAGAAACTACTTAAGAATAAGGAGAGAAACGTACTGCTAGATGATCTGAGAGATGGGTAATGTTATGGGTAGATGAAAAAAAAAAGAGCGAAAGATTGAAAAAGGTTGGAGGAGGAGCTGTTGAGCGAGGAAGAGCCTGCCATTTGGCAGATAACTCAATAATAATAATATTCTCACCTTGTTTAATATTAATAAATTCTTAATAGTCGTTTCTATAATGTGACATCCATTAAAAGTTCTGAGTTACTTTCATCAGGTCAAAATTATATTGAATCAAGATGTTTTCAGTTTTCTTTGGGATTGGCGTATTCATGAAGTTGCTTACGATATTTTAATTAAACAAGTATTAGAGGGAGTAGTTAATCTTATGGAGTTTTGCTTACGTAAATGTGCTTTTTCGGTTTAAACTTTTACAGCGTTGTTTGGTATATTTATAGGGTTGGTCCTAATTTTTTTCGTAATCACTATGGGCACATGAATTTTATTTCAATTCTTTGTCGTATTCTATTACATAGAAATTACAACTTTTAACCTTATTCTATCCAAGAACTTGCAGTAGTGTGGAATTCAGGAAATATAACTAATTTTGATTAACCTTTTTTTCATAGTCCGGCATTAGTTTATGAAAAAAGTTCCGCTATATTTTTTTCTTGAGTTTATTGTGGCGAGAATTGTTAAGGTTCGTAACTAGTTGCACAAAGTAATTCCGAAGTTTTTGAGTAGTCCAGCTGTAATTACTACTTTTACATAGTTCTATACCTGATGAATGCAATAATTTTAGAATAATAAAGAAGAGAATATAGGTTCTTCGAAGTTTCATAGTAAGGGATTTGGAATATTTGGGTATTTTTTAAGGTTCTTAGATAAATTGTTATATCAAGCTTTGTATGATCCTTTGCAATTTATTTCTTCCTGTTAGTATGTTTGAGTTAAAATTTTTAACGTGTCTGTTTTGTCGGTGTAGTATGCGACATAAGACTTTTGATCATTTTACAAGTTTACAACCTTGCAACTTGAATTATCTGATTTTGTTTAATGCTGTTACTAGTACTACTGTTAAACTTATACAAATTGGTCGTCACCTGACAGGTTATTATTTTGTTGTTGTTGTTGTTCCTGTGTATTGGAATCAGTGCCGCATCTCTATTTCTTTCTTCTGTTTTTTTATGTTCGGTTCACTTTGACTTTTTAGGAGTAGCCCCATATAATACTGGTTGGATCTTCTTCCAGAATGGCGTCAAAGAA